TGTACTATGGAAGAAGAGAAGAATACAAATGCGCAGCAATTTCAGCCATGGGGATTTTTAATAATACAGGGAGTCCTCAACTTATGACCGCAATTGAGCCCAAAATTTATGGTGCTGAGACATTTGTTACGTGAGTTTTGCCCCATTTTATGACTTTTTTGCCAGATTTGTTGCATATTTGCAACAATGGAATGGAATGGAACAGAATAGAAAATACGGAATGGAATGGAATGGAATGGGGAATATAGTAGGGTAGAGTAGAGTAAGATAAGGTAGGGTAAGGTAGGGTAAGGTAGAGTAGAGTAGAGTAGAGTAGAGTAGAGAAGGGAATAGAATAGAATAGATAGAATAGAATAGAATAGAATAGAATTAGAATAGAATAGAATAGAATAGAATAGAATAGAATAGAATAGAATAGAATTCAAAAAATTGGGTGGGTCTTATCATCAACCCGTTTTATGACCATTATGACATAATAGGCAGGTTCCATTACAGTCACATGTCAAGGACCACCTGTAAAATTAAATCTCCCCGTGCCCTAATCTACCTGCTGACGTTTATTTGTGATTTCAGTTCATGCCTCTCTTCCTGAAGGCAGCCAAGTTTTCCTCAAATTGGCAGGCAGAAATTTGTAAGCCGAAAACAGTTTGTAAGTCAAAACTTCCCCCCAGACCGAATCGTCGGCAAGCAATATTCAGCTTATCTTCTTTCTGCGCTATCTAGATTCCTTCCCCTTCATCCCCTCTTCAAGAGACAAAAATTAATATGGCTTTTTTTCATATCAGAAGGACTCCGTTTCCTATCGCCCGGCAATAAAACCCTGAGATGTTGATTGACCGCTGATCTCAGCATTACGAGCTTTGCATGACGGTATTCAATGTTCATCTCGGATACAATCGTTAGGTAATTAAAACATCACAGCTAGGTGAAGTGCGGCAGTTATGATGTATCCGTGATAACAATTCTATTGTTAGCTTGGTTTCGCCATCCTTGCTGTAATTCCTGAAGAAATCACTTCTTTTATCCTTTTCAAAAAGGACTCGTTTTTCAAAAGGTGCCCCTGTGATGACCCAGGGCATGGCACAGAGGCAATACAGGCAGCTGGCAGTTCAAACAGCCCCTTTATTGCTCCTCCTGATCCCCGAGCACGAAGAGTGGAGAGAAGGCGGGAACAGCGCAGGCTGACTCGTCTACCCAGGAGGAGATCGCCCCGCTCCTCTTCACAAGACACACTTAGGGACTGAGACTTAAGGAGTGCTGTGGCCCGTATGCAGCCTGTGCAGCTAGTCTCAGTCCCCAGGTGTGTCTTGTGAAGAGGGGCGGGGTGATCTCCTCCTGAGTAGATGAGTCAGCCTGCGCTGTTCCCGCCTTCTCTCCACTCTCCGTGCTCGGGGATCAGGAGGAGGTGGTCTCTGCTCATCGCCTGAGCTCTGTTCCCTGCTTAACCTCTCTTCGTCATCCTGCCCGTTCCTCCCTGCATACAAGCCGTCCTAATCCTGAAAAGCCCTGGCCTGACTGGGCCTGCTCTTCCCCGTTTTCCGCCGAAACCAACAAAGCCACCCCCTCAATCTCTGTCAGCTCCAGTTCCAGCTCGTTCTCCCCTGCAGATGCAGGCTCCGACAGGGGCATGACAGCCCCGCTAGATATTGAGACGAGGTGGAACCCCAAAATTAGCTCGGCTGTCCGAAATTTCACATAACACGGTTAAGCTGTGGAAAACCAACAGAGGTAGTCCTTGACATACGACCACAAATTTCTGTTTCTAAGCAAGGCAGCCTAGTGACTCAAGGCAGTCAGTCATAGGCCAGGAGAAATAGTTCTCAGATTGTTGTAACTAATCCCAGGTTAATCAAATGTTTCATGGGTAGTCCTCAACTTATGACTAACTTCCATTGCTAAGCCAGACAGTTGTTCAATATGAATTTTACCCCATTTTACAAGCTTCCTTGCCACAGTCGTTAAACAAATCCCTGCAGTTGTTAAGATAACAGCGTGGTTGTTAAGTGAATCTGGCTTCGCCACTGACTTTGCTCGGCGGAAGGTCGGAAAAGGGGAACACGTGACCCGGGGGACAGTGCAACCGTCGTAAATGAGTCAGATCCCAAGCGTTCAAATTTTGATCAGGGATGCTGAAACAGTTGTTAAGTGTGAAAATCGGTCGTAAGTCACTTTTTCCAGTGACGCTATAATTTCGTTCACTAAACAGTTGTAAATCCGAGGACTACATGTAGCGGAGTTCATCAAGACAAATGAATGACAAACAAATAAACACACACTGATCCAATCCAGAAGCAGAGTAGAACAAAATTTCAGAAATGATAACTTCGCTGGACATATTGCTTAATCGGTAGCAAACTCGGGGGGAAAAGCCATCTGGTTTTGACAAAGTGAGGCCATCAAGAAGATTTTTTGCACGAACCCTCTAAGAAAACAAGGTTGGTAAAATCAGCTGGGGAGACCTAAAATGAAAAGACCTATCATCTAATTTTTTTTCTAGCCCTAGGAAAAGAATCACTTCAGGGTTGAAATCCAGCAGGTTCTAACAGGTTCTGGAGAACCAGTAGCGGAAATTTTGAGTAGTTCGGAGAACCGGCAAATACCACCTCTGGCGGGCCGCAAAGTGGGGTGGGAATGGAGATTTTGCAATATCCTTCCCCCGCCACCAAGCCATGCCCACAGAACCGGTAGGGAAAAATTTTTGGATTTCACCCCTGACTTACGTACTTCGAAGTTCTTATGCCAGTGAACGATTTTAGTACATTTTACGTTACTCAAAGAATTGGAAAGCTTGAAAAAAAGCGGAGCGACCTCCAACGTCACTAAGGAGGTGACCCTCAAATGGACGCAACTAAACTAAGAAAAGATGTGCCACGCAAGTTTTGCGACTTGAGTTTCTGTGGCTTCAGATCGACAGTATGTGCCCAGATTGTTGTGGATCAGACCCAACGTCCTACTTGAGAGCTGTGAAAAGTGTGTGTTGAGAACTTGCCACGTCTTACTTAGGGAGGCCTGCGAAGAGAGCTTAAAAATACATCCCTCGGCTTTGTCTCGTGCCAGGGCTGCCCACTGCACCTTCGCTGAGAATGTGACAGATGCACCTGCTCGTCAGAGCAAGGGTAGCAGAGGATGACCTTGGGAGACAGAAGGGACACCTACAGGTTGGACAACCAGAGGGCAAAAATGTTCATTATCTCCAGAAATATGGCAAGCTTTCTGGAAAGGGTCGTAAGAGGGGAAGCAAAAGAAATTCTTGCGAGATTCTGTTAATGTAGCCTTATAATAAAGTCAGAGCTGGGATTCGTTGTTGGGTTTATTGTATGGACAACTCTGAAGAACCGTCCCTGAAGCAGCATCGTTGGTCTTCCTCCTTTGTCCATAATCCAGATGGACTCTTCACCCACTTGTAGGCCTAAATTTGTTAAAACTACTGAAACGGAGCCTGGGGAGATGAATTTATGATGTGACAGGAGTTGGTCAATTAGCCCTGGACAGTACTGGCTAAATAAGAGTTAGTTGACTCACACGACCTGTTGAATTAACCCACAAAGGGATGGGTTCACAAAACATGCTTGACCAAATCCAAGCAGATCACCTAACTGCTTCATACAATGATTGAACACATCAGTATGTGTGTGTCTGTGTCTGTGTGACAGAGAGAGAGAGAGAGAAACAGACAGAGACACGCACAAAGAGACACAGAGAGAGAGACTCCGAGAGACAGAGAGAGAGAGACAGAGACAGAGAGACACACACACCGAGACAGACAGAGAGACACAGAGAGAGAGACTGAGACACACAGAGAGAGAGAGACACCGAGAGACACTGAGGAACAGAGAGACACTTAGAGACACAGAAACACAGAGAGACACAGAGAGAGAGAGAGAGAGAGACACAGAGAGACCGAGAGACGCTGAGAAACAGAGAGACACTGAGAGAGAGAGAGAGACACAGAGACACAGAGAGAGACACCGAGAGAGACAGAGAGACACTGAGAGAGAAACAGAGAGACACAGAGAGAGAGAGAGAGAGACAGAGAGAGACAGAGACAGACACTGAGAGAGACACAGAGAGACACTGAGAAACAGAGAGACAGACACCGAGAGAGACAGAAACAGAGAGAGACAGAGAGAGAGAGACACCCAGAGAGACAGAGACAGAGAGAGACAGAGAGAGACAGAGACAGAGACACACCAAGACAGACAGAGAGACACAGAGAGACACACAGAGAGAGACAGAGAGACACTGAGAGAGAAACAGAGAGACACAGAGAGAGAGAGAGAGACAGAGAGACAGAGACAGACACTGAGAGAGAAACAGAGAGACACAGAGAGAGAGACAGAGACAGAGAGACAGAGACAGAGAGAGACAGAGACAGAGACACACCAAGACAGACAGAGAGACACAGCCAGAGAGAGAGAGAGACAAAGAGAGAGAGAGAGAGAGAGAGAGAGAGAGAGAGAGAGAGAGAGAGAGAGAGAGAATCAGTCATAGGCCAGGAGTTCTTAGATAGTTTTAAACAGAACCAAATGTTTCACAGGTAGTCTTTGACTTACGACCAAAATTGAGCCCAAAATTTCTACTGCTGAGCAAAGACAGTTGTGAAGTGAGTTTTGCCCCATTTCACCACCTTTCTTGCCACAGCGGTTAAGTGAATCACTGCCGTTAAGTTAGTAACACGGCTGTTAATCAAATCTGGCTTTCCCCTTGACTTCAATTGTCAGAAAGTCACAAAAGGCGAATCGTGTGACCGTGGGATTTTGCAACCGTCGTAAACATGAGCCCGTTGCCGAGCGTCTGAATTTTGATCCCGTGGGGATCTCCAACGGTCACAAGTGGGGAAAACAGTCAGAAGCCACTGTTTTTCAGCGCCACTGTACTTTCGAACGGTCACTAAATGAACGGTTGTAAATCAAGGACGACCTGGATTAATCGCTTGAACAAAAATAATTTCTGATTTCCATAAAAAGGACCACTTCTTATCCCGGGAATCACAGACGTACCTGCAGCTCCACCGATGGAGGTATGATTGCTAGACCCGAATTTCTTCTGAGACTTTCCGCCGGGGGAAGACGGCTCTTTCATCCGCTCGATGACATTTTCGGAGAGCTGCAAATAACACACACCAAAAAGGGGGTTTTTTTCCAACCGTTTCCCCGGAACATATATAATTCCCACGCTACACCTTGTACGAGGTTTGAGATACAAGGCATTTCATTTGAGCTCTGAAGCCCTAAAATAGCTTTTGCCCCCCCAAAAAAGACATGCTTGGAGAGGGTTTTTTTTTTTTTTAAATCTCATAATGTATTTTTTTTTAAACTGCCAGCAGGTAAATGGAAACGGGAACGTATCGGAGGCGATTTTCGTGGACTAAACGCATCCTTCAACCTTGGCTAGCCGTTTCCCCTTTCAAATAAAATAGCATTTTAAAAAGGGGAAGTCGGTGAGAAATTTTCTGAGTCTAAAACGGGATTCGGAATAGGACCCGGCAATTCCTCGGCAGCCAAAGATCTCTCTTTTTTTAAATCTATCGCTCTTCCGCAGCCAACAGCCACAGGACCAGGGGTGAAATGCTACTAGTTCGCTCTGGCATTTTTTTCCCACGGAAAGGAAGATTGGGCATTTTTCTTCCAAGAACATAGAAAGAAATCCAAGGGTTAAAAGAGCCACTTATTTTCAGAAACACTGAAGGGGAAAAAAAATCGGTCCTTATTTTTGGAGGGTAGGAGGGCAATTTGCAAGCAAATTTCCAACCGCACAATTTTGGGAGAAGAGTCTTCCAGGGCCACATACACAAACGAAATACCACGAGGGAGGTGCATATGTGGCCCACAGAATACAGGTAGTCCTCGACTTAGAACAGTTTGTTTAGTGACCGTTTCAAAGTTACGCCGGCACTGAGAAAAGGGACTTTGGGGCCATTTTTCCACACTTACGACCGTTGGGGGCAGCCGTGGGATCGCGTGATTAAAACTCAGGCCAGCTTGGCAACTGACTCATATTTATGACGGTTGCAGTGTGCCGGGGTCACGTGACACCCCCCCTTTTGTGACCTTCTCACAAGCCAAATTTTGGGCTCAATTGCGGTCGTAAGTTGAGGACTACTGTAGAAGGCTGCAATCCTCGACACGCCCATGATTAGAACACAGGACTTGAATCGCAGCAATTAAAACTGAAGTGCTGCTGCTGAAAATGGGGAAGGCTTCCTGGCTCCAGAGGCAACCGAGTTTTATTTATTTGTATCACAGTTTTATTATTTTTATAAATAACTGAAGGCGGTGAACATAACCAACAAACCTTCATCCGCCTATTTTCCCTATAGCAACAGCCCTGTGAGGTGGGTTGGGCTAAGAGGGAGACTGGCCCAAAGTCACCCAGCTGACTTTCATATCTAAGGTGGAACTAGAACTCTCTATCTCCTGGTAACTGACACAAAGTCACCAAGCTGGTTTTAAATGCCTAAGGTGGAACTAGAACTCACTGTCTCCAGGTAATTGGCCCAAAGTCCCAAGCTGGCTTTAATGTCTAAGGTAGAACTAGAATTCACTGTCTCCTGGTAATTGTTGCAAAGTCACCAAGCTGGTTTTCATGCAGAAGACAAAACTAGAACTCACTGTCTCCCGGTAATTGGCCCAAAGTTCCAAGCTGGTTTTAAATGCCTACGGTAGAACTAGAATTCACTATCTCCCGGTAATTGGCACAAAGTCACCAAGCTGACTTTAATGTCTAAGGTGGAACTAGAATTCACTGTCTCCCAGTAATTGTTGAAGAGTCACCAAGCTGGTTTTCATGCAGAAGACAAGACTAGAACTCACTGTCTCCCGTAATTGGCACAAAGTCACCAAGCTGGCTTTAATGCCTAAGGTGGAACTAGAACTCACTGTCTCCTGGTAATTAGCTCAAAGTCACCAAGCTGGTTTTCATGCAGAAGACAAGACTAGAACTCCCTGTCTCCTGGTGATTGGTCCAAAGTCACCCAGCCGGCTAAGCGGCACTTGAATTCAGAGTCTCTCGTTTTCTAGCCTGGTGCCTTAACCACGGGACCAAACTGGTTAAATGCTAGCTAAATTACTGCCTCCAGAGCAGAAATTATGTTAATTCAAGCACTGGTATGTAAGGGTTTCCAGACTATGTGGTTGAATATTCAGCAGCAACGGGGAGTCAGGTACTCTAGAGTTCCAGCTCCGTAAATTCCTTGTTACTAAAGCCTCAGGAAGTGGGGAAAAAGGGACTTCAAGGGAGAGAACAGTATGTCAGGCGAACACAGGAATCCTTGTTTACAGGGGAGCTACCAAAGGGATGAGGTGGAGGCAAGAAAGAGTTGGTGGAGTCTTAAGAGAGGGGGGGGGAAAAGGAGAAGGAAGCAGCCCCCAAATCAAAAGAGGCAACGGGAAAGATAGAGCACTCCTCAAGTGTCACACCAGCTCCTCCGCCTCTCATCCTCTGCCTTTCGTTTTCCTTTTGAAGCCTCTCTATGCAGGCTTCAGGCGTAGCAATCCTGACACAGGGAGGCCTGCAAGGAAAGGAAGGAAGGAAGGAAGGAAGGAAGGAAGGAAGGAAGGAAGGAAGGAAGGAAGGAAAGGAAGGAAGGAAAAAAACGAAGAGGTTCCGGGTAAGGCAAGGAGGTCCCATCATCATCATGGGGGTGGGGGGAGGGACAAGAGATGGCTCAGCCAACCCCGTTTCTAATTTCTCCCTTGTCGTTTAGGGTCAATCAAAGACGTTTGCAAATGCCAATTTCTCTGGACACGTCAGACAAGCAAGGTGCTTGGTGGCTATATGTGAGGGTAAGGAATTGTTTAAAACTGCCAATCAAGATGGAGAAGGGAGGGAGGGAGGGAGGGAGGATAAAGAGAGAAAGGTAGGGACAGAGGAAGGAAAGAAGGAAGGAGGAAGGAAGGAAGGAAGGAAGGAAGGAAGGAAGGAAGGAAGGAAGGAAGAAAGAAAGAAAGAAAGAAAGAAAAAGAAAGAAAGAAAAGAAAGAAAGAAAGAAAGGTCTTGATGAGAGATAAAGAGAGAAAGGTAGGGACAGAGGAAGGAAAGAAGGAAGGAAGGAAGGAAGGAAGGAAGGAAGGAAGGAAGGAAGGAAGGAAGGAAAGAAAGAAAGAAAGAAAGAAAGAAAGAAAGAAAGAAAGAAAGAAAGAAAGAAAGGTCTTGATGAGAAAGGAAGGAAGGAAGGAAGGAAGGAAGGAAGGAAGGAAGGAAGGAAGGAAGGAAGGAAGGCAGGCAGGCTCGTTTTTATGACGGTTGCAGTGTCCCAGGGTCACGTGATCCCCTTTTGCGACCTTCTGACAAGCAAAGTCAACGAGGAAGCCAGATTCACTTAACAACCAAGTTACTAATTTTACAACTGCAGTGATTCTCGTAATAACCCTGGCAAGGCAGGTCGAAAAATTGAACAAAACCCATTTAACAAATATCTCACTTAGCAATGGGAATGCTGGGCTCAATTGTGGTCGTAAATCGAGGACTACCTGGATAAATCAGAAGAAATCATCCTAAATACATTAACCTATGTTTCACCTATATACAGTACATGGTTCGGCAAATGCCTCGATTCACACAATACGTTGAGTCATATTTTCAGCCAGCAGATTGAGAAATCCACTTGGACTAACCCTCCTACATTGCTAGTTCCTGAGGTCGATCCTAGGTCTGCATGAGAAAAATCTTCCTTATAAATCAGAAATGCAGCATCCCAAACAAACGGGCCTCTTTCTTCCTCAGTCGTGGTTTGATTTAACTGTAATCAGTTTGGGTTCAGCTAGGACGGAACAAGGTCTGAACCTGGCCAAGCCACATACACTGTGATTTCCATACTGCCATTCCGACCAAACCTTGACTTGCCAAATGCTCCTTACTGCAAACTTCACAAGCAATAAACAAATGGCAACAAATGACATTGTGCGTCCCTTTGTGACATAACACTGTGATGCAAATGACCAGAATTGATGCAAATTAATTAATGACATGATGTCCTCAACTCAGCCATTTAAACCACAATGACATGCTTCCCTGTTTAATCAGGTCTCGTATTCAGACCTCGTATTTAAGCAGGTCTCGTATTCAGGAATACGAGACCTGCCTTCCTTCCATAACCATATAAACCATGTTACAAGCAGCTGGAACACAAAGTGAGCAATGATCTGACAGCCTACTCCTAACAGTATTTCTCAATCTTGGTTAACTTAAGATGAGTGGACTTCAGCTCCCAGAATTCCCTAACCAGCATGGCTGGCTGGAGAATTCTGGGAGTTGAAGTCCACCCATCTTAAATTAGCCAAGGTTAAGAAACACTAATCCAACAAGAAAGACACTGCATAGAGAAATTCAGATATCCCCTTAACCTCTCCCTTAAAAGGCAGGACATAATTGCAGTAAAAAAGTGATAGTCCTGATTGAGGATGCAGAAAAACCCACCAAGAAGTCCCAACGACTTTTAGGGTGCTGTCTTCACACAGTATATATACACAGAAAATGCAACCCAATTCACATAACCCAATTTTTTGGTTTTAATAGAAGACAGAATTGAACTGTAGGGTCCTCTCTGAACTCGGTTGTTTCGCTGCAGACATTTTTTGACCCAACTGGGTAACATCATCAGGGCTAGAAGGAGTGGTGTGGTGGAGGGAGGAGGAGGAGGAGGAGGAGGAGGGAGGAGGAGGAGGAGGAGGAGGAGGAGGAGGAGGAGGAGTTCCCAGCAGAGATGTAAGTACTCAACAGAAAGTTTCCTTTGTCTTTTAGAGTTTAATTTCTACTAAATTTGAAATCATCTATTAGATTTTGGGATCTTGGAAAGGTACGTTTGTGGGGCTCTCTGAGCTTGTTTATTTCGTGACCAACTAGGTAACATCATCAGTGTTAGAAGGGAGGAGGAGGAAGAAGAGGAAGAGGAGGAAGAGGAAGAAGAAGAGGAAGAAGAAGAAGAGGAAGAAGACGACGATGGACTGTGGGGTCCTGGAGGAGGAGAACAACGACTGTGGAGTCCTTGACACTCTCTGAGCTTGATTTATCTTCTTGCAGACGTTGCACAACCCAACTAGGTTACCTCATCAGTGCAATTATTCTGGGTTGGCAGCAATTGCAGCCAAATAAAACCTGCCCTACAGAACAGGACGGGTTCAAAATGGCTCAAGCTGACTTGCAGCTGGGGCACCTCTTGCTCCCCACATGAAGCACAATCATTGTAGTAAGTCGCAGGTGCAATCTTTTGGGGGGGCAGGGGGCATGTCTATGCAATGGGGAGGGCTGGATTTGGAAGGGGTCAGTTTTGCAGGTTTCTTGTGTCCCCTTAAAAGGGAAGGATGGGCTGGATGTTCAGAAAAAGGGGGCAGCACCACTTGGGGCTTTGGGTCCAACTCCTCCCACCTTGGTTTGTTCTGTGCATGTCGTCCTCGACTTATAACAGCTTCCCTTAGTGACCATTCGGCACTGAAAAAAAGTGACTTACGACCACTTTTCACACCAATGACCTTCGCAGCCTCCCCACGGTCACGTGATTTACATTAGGGACGCTTGACAACTGACTCACATTTATGACAGTTGCAGCGTCCGGGGCGCGACTGGGGGGGGGGGGAGGGCATGTGATCCACTCTTGCGACCTTCCTACAAGGAAAGTCAATGGGAGAGGCCAGATTCACTTAACAGCCACGTTTACCAATTGAACAACTGCAGTGATTCCCTTGCCCCAAATGTGGCAAGGAACGTCGTAAAACGGGGCACGAAACTTGGGGCTCCACCGTGGTCGTAATTTGAGGACTCCCTGTCATCCCCGCAAGAAAGGAGAGCCAGCATTTCAGTGTAATTAAGAATCATCATCATCATATCATGAGGCCGCGAGTTCCGCAGGTCAAGGCTCCCGGGAGAAGCTTTCCCCCCCTCCCTTCTCCTCTCCCCCCTCCCCTGAGCATCTTCTCATTGGATGCTGTTACCTAGGCAACGAGGGAGCCCAACCTCCCCAGACCCCCCCCCCCCAGAAAGAAGGCTCCCCCGCCCCCACTAAGCGGAGAGTCGCCCCCAGGCCTCACCCGGATGCCCTTCACCACCGTGATGTTGTCGTTTTCGTCCGCCTCGAAGGTGACCCTCCGGGGAACGCTCTCACCGCCGCCCATGGCGCCCGAGGCCGGGTCAAACTGACTAGGCCGCGGCACGGGGACTCAAGGAGACCTCAGCTCCGCCCACCGGCGCCGGCCATTGGCCCGCCGCGACTCGACGCCGCGCGCCGATTGGTCAGGGAGACGTTGCCCCTGGCAACAGTCTGGCCCAGAAGGGCGGAGTGGAAACTTTTCTTTCTCCCGCTCTGTGGTCCAAAGCACAGGATAGGAAACTTTGTTTGAAGGGTATTTGAACCACGATTCCCGGAATGCACCGCGGCAAAGGCCGTGAGCCTCGGCGCAAGGCAAAAGCGGGGAGCGTGCGCAAAACAGGGGCGCGCCGCGTGGCATTCTGGGAGCTGCAGTTCCAAGGGTGGACTTTGCAAGGAACAGTGGCAAAGTCTGGGCAGCGTTCAAGATAATGCAAATAAAAATAAAAATTCCTTAGCTGTTTTGCAAAGTGGGGCTGTGGAATGGGGAAGGGACCTCTCCCCCCAAGGGTCATCTAGTCGAGCCCTCTGGGATATGCAGGACCAACCAATTAAACTAATTAAAAGAGAATTTTTTTGTAGTTCAGGGTTAACTGATAAGGGAGTGAAATTTGTGGAGAGGAAGAGGAGGAGTGGGGTTCTGGTGCTCTCTGAATCACAATAAAGCTGGAAGGGACCTTTGGAGGTCTTCTAGTCCAGCCCAATCAAGAGATTCGGTATCATTTCAGACAAGTTCTTCTTTAAAAACCTCCAGGGATGAAGCACCCACAACTTCTGGTGGCAAGTAGTTCCACTGGTTAATTGTCCTCCCTGTCTGTAATTTCTTCTTCATTCCAGGTTGCTTCTCTCCTTGATTAGTTTCCATACATTGATTCTTGTCCTGCCTTCTGATGCTTTGGAAAATAAGTGGACCCCTTCCTCTTTGTGGCAGCCCCTCAAATACTAGAAGACTGCTATCATGTCAGCCCTAGTCCTTATTTTGTCTACAGTAACCAAACCAGGGCTGAAATGTAAAATTTGTTGCTACCGGTTCTGTGGGCATGGCTTGGGGGGGGGTAATGTGACTGGGTGGGCGTGGCCAACTTTTTTTTTTTTTAACTTTCTAAAGCATTCTTTGAAAAACCTCTGCCCTGTTAGAAACTGGATCTAGCCCAATAACTCAAAGACATAGCCCAATTCTTTTCAGTAGTTTTATGTTGATCAGTTGGTACTGGAGGTCACTGACCTTGTACCTTTCTCTTTCAGGTATACATCTGGAATCGATCGTGGAACATGTGGTTGGACCTTTTGTACCCAGGAGGAGGGGCCAAGAGGTAAGGAGTGGTTACAGGGATTATGGGATACGTGGTTTGTTAACCCTTGAAGGACCGGGTGGTCAGGGAGATGTAGTAGTTAGGCATTTATCATGACAAAACCCCCTCTAAATGCCTAACTGGGTACCTGGGGCAATGTTTGCATACATACAGGAAATACACAAGTACAGACATGAATTACAAGCAAACACGCATTTTTGACATTAAGTAAGCATGTTGTTTATGTGGTAGGGGTTTAGTGAGGATATCTGCTGTTTGCTCCTCTGTGTCACAGTGTACTGCTCTAATGAAGCCTATCTCTGAAAACTGCCTGACGTGTTTGTATTTAATGTCAATGTGCCTAGAACGCTGACCTATGGCATCGGCCCTAGAGATCTCTATTGCTGCTTTGTTGTCTTCGTGGATAACTATTGGATATGAGGGTTCAGCCCAGATGTCGCAGAGCAGGTCATCGAACCATACTAAATTGTTTGCGGCCTTTGACAGGCAAACAAATTCTGCTTCCGTAGTTGATGTGGCCACCAGTTTTTGCTTCCCAGTGTACCAATGTATGGGGCAATTGTTGAGTAGTAGCACGTAGCCAGAGGTGCTTTTTCTGCAACCAATGTCCCCAGCCCAGTCAGCGTCAGCATAGCAGGTTAACTTTGGTTTCTCGGATGTTTCTGGTTCTAGGCAGAGTAGGGCATCCGCACTGAATTTTAAGTATCTGAGTAGTCTTTTGATAGCGTTCCAGTGTGTTAACGTGGGCTTGCTTACATGCCTGGACAGTAGATTGACGGCTAAGGCGATGTCGGGCCTGGTCCAGTTGGATATGTACAGCAGTGACCCTATCGTTGATCTATACAGTTTGTTGTCTGTGAAAGGTTCAGATTCCTCATACATGGTCTTCAGGAACTCAGGTTGCATGGGGGTCTCGCTGGTTTTGCTTCGGACATGTTGCATTTTAACAGCAGCTCGATGATCTTTTCTCTCTGGGAGAGGCGGAAGCCCTTGTTGGTTTTTATCACTTGGACCCCTAGGTATCTGTCAATCTTTCCAAGTGACTTTAGGGAGAAGTGGCTACCCAGGTCAGTGGCGAACTTGTCACATCTGTCCTTGTGTTTGCTGATGTACAAGATGTCGTCCACGTAAACGAGCACACCCTCGAATGCGTTGTTTTCTCTCCTCGTAAAGAAACATTTGTCGGCTGAGGTGGCCTCGAAGCCCATGGATCTGAGGGCCTTGGCCAGGCAGTCATACCACCTTTTGCCTGACTGCTTGAGCCCGTAAAAGCTTTTGTTCAGCAGCCAGGTTTGGTCCCCGCCTCTGTTGTACCCAGGCGGTGCTTTGACGTATATTTCTTTATCCAGCTCGGCGTGTAAGTACGCTGTTTGTACGTCGAACTGGAAGACCTCCAAGCCCAGGATGGTGGCCACCACCAGGGCGCTTTTGACGCTTTCCGCCCTGACGGTTGGCGAGTAGGTGTCCGTATAGTCTTCGGGGTATCTTTGGGCGAAGCCCTGCGCGACTAATCTTGCCTTGTATAGGACCTTGTTGTCCTCTAATGTCTTAACCCTGAACACCCATTTGGTTCCTATTGGTTTTTTTGTCCTCTGGAACTTGGGCAGGTGAGTATACCTGGAGGTTTCTTAGGCTTTCCATCTCCTTCTCCATGGCAGACATCCATTTTTCTTTTTCTTCCTGGGGGAGCCCGAGGATGTCTTCATATGAGCTGGGCGTGAAATGGGTGTTGTGGATGGTCATAACGTAGTCCTCTAACTTCTTTGGTAGCTTGTTTCTGGTTTCTCTGATTGGCCTGCTGGGGGTTGGCTCGGTTTCCTGCATGTTGTCTGCCTCATTGTCCGTCAGGTCATCTATCTTCAGTGAAGGGTGCCCTTCTTTCCAACCTTTGACGCTCGCCTTGCGATGGTTGGCTTTGTGCCCTGTGACCTCTCTGACCTCCCTTTCCCCTTGGTCATGCTCGAACGTGACCCTATTGGTTGGGATGTCATTTGGAGTGTACCCTCGACCAGTTTGCGTTTTCGTGGAAACTGGCTGATCTGGAAACTACAAAGCGGTTATTGTTGTCGACAAATCTGTAGCCCTTTGTGCCCGTTCGTAACCCACGAACCTTAACCTTTTTGATAATTTCTCCCCCTTTCTTCTTAGCTGCCTGGGAATGTGGACATCAGCTGGGGCGCCGAATATGTGTAAGTGAGCAATGTTAGGCTTTCTGTTATATAGCATCTCGTATGGCGTCTTATTGATAGAGCTTGACCACAGTCTATTCAGGGTGTAATTGGCGTAGTGTAATGCCTCTGACCAGAAATGCTGCCCCATCCCTGCATCCTCCAGGGCGCATCTCATCATGGTTTGCAACAGCCCGTTCTTTCTCTCTGAGACTCCATTTTGGAAGGGGGAGAAAGGTGAAGAGGTGTAATGCGCTATGCCCTGCTCCCTCAGCCACCTTGTGAATTCTTTGGCCATGAACTCTGAGCCCCTATCAGTCATTATCTGCCTTATTCTCATGTTGTGTTGCATATCTACTCTCCTGTGGAATTCTTTAAACCTTTGGAACACTTCATTTTTGTGCCTGAGGGAGTAGACATACCCGTATCTGGTGTAGTCATCCACAATCGTGAGGAAGAACCGCTTCCTATGTCCTACAGAGGGTTTCATTGGCCCTACCAAGTCCATGTGCACCAGTTGAAAGGGGTATTCCGTGGTTCGTTTGGATCCCCTGGGGATGGCCTTAACCTTGATCTTAGAACGCTTACAAACTGAACACTCCAAGTAGTTTTCGCAGTTCTTTACTTTGAGACCCTCGGTACATTCCGTCATTCTCTTTACAATGGGGAAGCTTATGTGTCCCAGTCTCCTGTGGAGAGGTGGTGGGCGCAGTTATCATGTAATGGCTTGCCAATAGATATAGACTTGTTTGTCTTCTCATGGCTACTTCCTGCCTCCTGCTGCACCCCCTCTGTTTCTGGATACTTATCTATCCTGTGGTTTGTGCTGGTATCAATGCCTTCTTCCTCCCTTGCGTTGGGTGTGAAGTAGGGAAATCCCTCGTGTATGGTTACCTTTCCTATCTCTTTCCCTTGCTTGATCAAGTGTGCCTTTCCATCTTTAAATTTTATTTCTATATTTGTGTCTCGTGTTAGCCTTGTGATGGCTAGCACATTGTGGGGAATCTCTGGTATGTACAGTACTTCTTTTAAGTCCCCTACCTGTGTGATGTGTACGTTCCCTTTCCCCACTACTCTGACCTTGCTTTGGTTGGCCACCTTTATTTCTGAGTCTATTTTTGTGAGTGAGTCTAGCAGCTCTGGATTGCAGGTAGTGTGACTTGTGGCCCCTGAATCTAGAAGCCATGAGTTTCTCTCTATCTTATGTTTGTCATTTGGGTCATCGTGCCTGATCCCGTACATGGAGCCAGAGCTACTCTCCCTGGAGTGGTCTCTGCGCTCGTGGTGTTTCCTGGGGTTGGGTGACCATCCTCGCCCCCTTTCCTTTGGGTACCTGCGTTCAGGTGACCTTCCCCCTCTACTGTCGTGCTGTCCCCTGTCCCTATGGTTCCTGGGGCAATCCTTCTTTAAGTGGTTCCTCGATCCACAGGAATAACATTCTGAGGTATCCCTGGCCCTATCCTGGAAATCCACCCTCTTTGTGGGTCTAGGGTCCCCCTTGGCTAGTTGGCGTTCCCTCCTCAGGGTGTCCTCTGCAACGAGCTGACTGGTCAGTGAGCCTAGTGTGAGGTATTGCAAGCTGAGGCTATTTAGTTGGGTCATGAAGATGTCCCAGC